GGGCGAGGGGCGCAAGGCAGCTTCAAGAGAGGGGGGGGGCTGAGGTGGCGTGGCTCTGGGTGGAGGTGCAGTCGGCCAGCGGTGTGGGGTCCGGAGGGGTGGCCGGCGATAGTGGCCGAGCGGCCAAACTCGATGATTTGGTTACTGTGGCACATGCTCGATTCAAAGACAAGTGAAGCACCCTTCTTCTACATATGACATGTGGGCCCAATTCTTATTTAGGCTAGTGCCAAGTGGACCAAAGATTTCAATGACATGTGAGCACAGACTCATGTTCATCGGCTCCACCATTTGTTCAAACGTTTTGTTTTTTTAAATACATGGCAAAATCTTTTAACAAGTTTTTCTCCTACATACTATCTCTACATCAGACATTTTTTCCTAAAATTTCTAAAATCATGATCTATCAATATGGTGAGTTGTTTTCAACCATATTTTCATGGTTCAAACTTTGATCAAAGGAAGAAGTTCAACTTTTAAAAATTACAACTTCAAACCAAAATTTGAAACTCAAAGATTGTCAATTTATGAACAAAAGTCTATGAATTGTCGATTGAACAACTGATCAAAATAAGAATTGTTTGTTTGGTGAGTTGTTCAACCTTTGTATTCATGACTTTTGTGGATGAAGTGATCTCGAGTTTCAAATTTTGGTTTGAAGTTGCAGATTTTAAAAGTTGAACTTCTTCCTTTGATCAAAGTTTGCACCATGAAAATATGGCCGAAAACAACTCACCATATTGATAGATCATGATTTTAGAAATTTTTAGGAAAAAAAATGTCTGATTTGGAGATAGTATGTAGGAGGAAAACTTGTTACAAGATTTTGCCATAGATTTAAAAAAAAAAATGTTTGAACAAATGGTGGAGCTGATGAACATCCATGCCAAATTTCACCACGTGCCATCGACAAATCGGGCCCATGCGTCACCCAATTTTTTCACCTGCACGCACCCACGCACTCGTCACGACACATGGGCCCCTCCCCGCCTCCCGCTCAAGCCATCCAAAACCTCCTCGCCTTATCCTCTTGCCCGGTCAGCAATCTCCAATCTTCGTCCCCGCTGCCGCCCTGTCTCCACAGCGCCCGCCGCCACCAAACCGCCCGCCTCCGCACCTTCACACCATAGACCATGGCCTCCTCCTCCCTCCCCTAAACCCTGGCTTCCTCCTCCCTCCCCTAAACCATGGCTGCCACCTCCCTCCCCTAAATTGGCCACCACACCATCCCAAAACCCTAAACCTACTACCACGCACCTACCACCGGCCAGAGGATGGAGCGGCACCGCTGAAAGGTTCTTGTTGGTTTTGGTAATTGAGTGACAACCTAGGTGGACTAATTGTGTTTATGTGAGATACACAGGTGATTAGTTCACAGGTACATGTGTGTGAGCAACATATGCCATGGAGGTGAAAATGGCTTAGAGATGTTGCAAAGCTCACACATGTGATGATGAAGGAGCTTATTGCACATGAGACATGACATTGAGTCATGTGATCAAGGTGGAGAAGATCAAGACAAGACTTGGCTTGATGGACCGGTTGCAAGCGTGAAGGGCAAGTCAAAGGCTTTGGAGTGATGGACCGCGTGGCGGTGAAGCTTGAGCAAGACTTGGCGCCGATGGACGATAGCAACGGTGAAGAGCAAGTAGAGTCAAGATCGATGAACCAATATGATCATGTGATGATATGAAGTGGATCATATCATTGTTGATCGTGTTGGTGCATGTGTTGCATCGACATTGAAGGAGATGGAATGGAATGCGCAAGGCAAAGGTATAACCTAGGGCATTTCATTTCACCGGTCATAGGTGTGTAGAGAAGTTTATGACCGGGTTTAGGATAGATGGCCGTACTATCAAGAGGGGCAAACTTGTTTGCATATCGGTCATCTAGTGCCACTCGAGTGATCTAACTTTGCATTGTCGCTAGGATCGAGTGGCGTGGCAAGTTGAGTGGCTAACATCCTTTGGAAAATGATTGTGAAAATGCTAACACACATACACATGGTGGTGTACACTTGGTGGTGTTGGCACATTTGCAAAGGAGGTGGTGTTTGCAGTGGTGTTGGCACATTCGGCGCTTTCAGGAAAATAGAATGCCTATTTTCTATTGCGCCGGATGCAAGTTCTTGTGGTTAGCACATTGGGGCAAGGGTGAAGAAGTTAGAAGTGAAAACGAGTTGATCGCGAAGATGCTGGCGTCGGTCCACCGACCGGACGCTGGGTCATCATCTGACCGACGACGAAAAGGCTGCGTCCGGTCAAAGCGACGGGTCTGCTGCATCTAGAGGTATTGCACCGACGCTGGTCTGCGTCCGGTCAAGGTGGACGGACGCGTCCGGCCGAGAAAATATGCCTCGGGAGCTTCTTGAAACGACCGGACGCTTTGCTTCAGCGTCCGGTCGCTTTTTACCGTGCGTCCGGTCAGGTCAAGTGACCGTTGGGATCGGGACGCGTGGCGTTGTCAGGACGACCGGACGCCGAGGTCCGGCGTCCGGTCAACACGACCGAGCGTTCGGGTCGGCCCGACCGTTGCCCATGAAGGGGTAACGCTAGTTTAGCCTTTGGGGCTATAAATAGAAGTGGCCCTCGCCATGGCTGGTGTCTTGAGCACCTCAAGGGACTTAGTGTCCATGCTTGTGAGTGCTTGGGAGCCCTCCATCACACATATACTTGATAGCGATCATCCGATTGTGTGAGTGAGCGATTCTAGTGCGATTGCATCGTGAGGTTGCATCGAGTGGTACTAGGTGATCGAGTTGCGAGCCGGTGGTGCTTGTTACTCTTGGAGGTTGCCACCTCCTAGACGGTTTGGTGGTGGTCTCCGTCCGGCGCGCAAAGAAGCTTGTGCGGCGCTCCGAAGAAGTGCTTGTGAGGGGCATTGTGCTCGCCCAGCGGAAGCGCCAAGAGCAACTCTAGTAAAGCGTGTCATTGAGCTACCCTCACTCAAGGGTAGGTTTCTTGCGGCGCCCGACGTGCGGGCTTAGCGGGTGATGCTAATTAGCCGCCCGAACCACCAAGTGAGCGGTCGACACAACGGGACTAGCGTGTTGGCAAACACGTGAACCTCGGGAGAAAAATCATCGTGTCAACATTGTTCTTCCCGTTGGTTTGCATCCCCATTACACAAGCTTGCAATTACTTATATATACATCTTAAGCTTGTGTAGTTGCTCTTGTAATTAGATAGCTTGTGTAGCTAGCTAATTACCTTCTTGCTTGTGTAGCATAGAAGTAGCTCCCTTGCGTGGCTAATTTGGTTTTAGTAACCTTGTTTAGTCACATTGCTTAGTTTGTGTAGCTAAGTATTTGCGCTCTCTAATTAGGCATTGGTTGCCTTGTTGTTGAGCATTGCTAGTGAGCTTAGTTAGCTTTGTGCTTTTGCTTACTAGCATGTATAGGAGCTCCTTGTTACTTAAAGTACTAGTGGCATAGGTTTGTGTGACCTTGCTCCTAGAATTGTTTAGGAGAGCTCTAGCTAGCCCGGCACCTTAGTTGCTTTATTAGTATCTTTGCAAGGTGCTAGTGAACATATATAGAGGGGTGTAGTCTTGGCTAGACCGATTGTTTTAATTCCGCATTTATATCGGTTAGCCGACGCGATTAAGTTTTAGAAAAGACTATTCACCCCCCCTCTAGTCCGCCATCTCGACCCTTCAACCGCCACTACACCAACGCCGGTAGTACCTCCGCCACTAGCTCGAGGCAGGTGGGGCACCGCCACTACACCAACGCTGGTGGTACCTCCGCCACCATGTAACCCTCCACGCTGGTCCGCCGTTCTACTCCGACAAAGCAGACGTCGCTGGCCTACACGCCGTCGTTTCTTTGGGATTCCTCCCGGAACGTGCTTCAGCCGTCGTCTACGGTAAGACCAACTGCTAGATCCAACCCCACCCTCCCCAACAATGTTAGTCGAGATCAATGCTTTATGCTCAACGTGACAAATTCTATTAATTTTGTTGGAGATGTATGTTGGAGATGTGAATCCTTTCAAATTTATGTTGGAGATGTATGTGGTTTTGTGTGATGGGAAGTGCTCTTGTTGGAGATGTATGTTGGAGATGTAAATCCTTTTAGATCCTTGTGAAATACCTGTTGTCTGCCTAACACAATTGATGCCTTGCCACTACCAGCAAAATCATTGACACAAAAATTCCACTAGTTAAGACAAAGGAACCCATTTTGTTCATTTTATTCTGGTTTTTTTTGTTTCTTTACAATTTCACTACTGATGTGTTAGTTTTTTCTTCAAATTCTTTTCAGAAACTAACTCTAGTTTCTACTCATTCTATGTGTTTGCATGTAATAAGTAATAGAAGAAAATGACCAAAACCAAGTATGAGCGGGACAGGGACAAGAATGTTAAGGAAATTCAGGATGTTTTTAAATCTTTGGGTATTCGAATCTTAACAGAAGAGATTAGAGGTTCTATGCCAAAACAGCCCGAGGGCAAAGGGAAGAAACTACTATCCGATAATCGTGATTCTAACAATGATTATGATCCATCATCCGATATTGATAACCAATCTCACAATCGATGATTCTCGATGAGGTGAGATGCATTACTAGGCAATTGACAAGTTTATGGTCATCCATTTTAATCATATTCTTCTATGCAGTTCATTGATCTACTTGACACTTATTTCATAATTAATAAGATACATTTTCTCTTGTCGAAAGTCCAATGGTGCTAGGAACTCACCCAAGAAGCAAAAGTTGGCAACAAAGGCGGCCGCCAACCAGAGCCCACCACCAAGACGCCAACCAGATTGACTAGGCAAAGTGCAGCCATGCCTTCACCGGTGGCCGTCCACCACCTAACATAAGACATCCCTTGCCTCCTAAGTACACTTCCAAAGCCAACCCTAAACCTCCACCTGCTTCTAGTACCACCAATCAAGCCCAAGCCCACTCACTACAAGCAAAGCAGCCAGACCAACCAAACTACAAGCACAAAGTGCCTACTCATCCAATAATCACTAGGACCGGTCCAGCCATGTCTTCACCTCTTCCAAACATAGTGCCTAGTCCTCGTAAGTTCACTAGGCAAACTGCAACCAAGCCTATGGCTGGTGCAAACCCTACGTATCATCCTAGTGTCTCCACTCATACCTTGTCTCATCAACCTACTCCCAATGATGCAGACCATGTCTCACGGTACCGGTGCAAAATGGCATGTCTTCACCTCTTCCAAACATAGTGCCTAGTCCTCCTAGGCAAATCAACAACAAGGTCTACGCCTAGTCCAAACCCCAGTACCTTGTCTCGTGAACCTACTCCCACAACTAGTGTAAACCAAGTGCCGGAAACCTCGCCAGTGCACAGAGTTCTAGGCAAAGCAATGACCTCAATGAGTCAGCTTGAACAATTTGGGGCTGCTACTTGAGAGGGTCATACAGATGAAGGAGAACGAGTTGGTGACTTGGTTCAAGGTAAACAATACGTGTTACCAAACATTATTTTCTCCATTCAAGATGATCCTTTGTTATCGCTATAGCAACACATGTTGCTTATTATTTGCCAATGCAAAGGCGCCGAAAGGAAGTCCGCAAGAAAACCATGGGTCATGGATTAGAGAAGATGCTAAATAGAGGAAAGAAGTCGGCTATCCAAGTGGTCAAGGGAAGAAAAGACCAGATGTACCACTTCAGCAAAGAAAAGTCAGCATCGTAAACTGGTGTGCTCCTTAGAGACAACTTGCCTATCTTCCCATCCTCGAAGGATTATAACGATGAGGCGGGCAACAAGAAGTCAAAAAAGTGCTTTAGAAAGTGGCGGTGAGATATCTAATTCACTCCAAGTACTTCCCTGCATTAGTCTAATCCCATGTGAAAATTGTGTCTACTAAATCATTTGTGTGCCTGCAGTCTAGGTTGGATGTGGACGTTAAGAATGAGGGACCAAGCCTTGATGCATGCACTGATATCATTAAGAGGGGAGTAAGGCAGATGAGGTATCACCTAAAAAGGAAGTACTTTGATGAGTCACTATCAAGAGAACAGTTGTTGGCCAAAGAACCTCCACCAAAGATGAAGAAAGAGGAATGGATCAAACTAGTGGAGTATTGGTGTGACCCAAAGAATCAGGTCTATGACCAGCATCAGCTGCTTTTGTTAATATGGAATGCAAACTGTGCATGTCAATGTAAACTTCGTATTGCATTTGTGGTGCAGGAGAGATGTGCTAAGAATAAAGTCAACCGAGGCCAAGTGCAGCTACACCAAAGGACTGGATCTAGGTCCTATATTGCCCATCGGTACAGCCTGGTAAGCATACTATTGCTTCTTCCACTGAAATGTGAAAGGTTTTGGAGGCAAACCTGATTGCCTGATGAATGGCTTGAACCTTTTACATTCTTGTGCAATGCAAACTGTATGTACATGTTTGCTTGAAAGTTTGCTACAAAGTTGACATTGTGTTTTTTCTCATAATTAGCAAGAAAGATGGGTCAATTTTAACAGAGTACTTACCATGTGCTTGGTTTGTGTCAAGTTATCACATGCTGTTTGATTTCTTAGAATATACAAAACCAATCTTATGTCTAGTGATTTCTAGCACAATAATTGGCATCTAGCTATTGGCATGTGTTCCTAGTTCCTAGTTCAGATTTCAGTAAAACCAATCTTGCTGCTAAGTGTTCCTAGTTCAGATTTCATGGTCACACAAATAATTTCAGTGGCACCTCATAGTTAAGATTTTAGAGTTCACCCTCTCTTTAGCTTCATTGTAATCCAAGTTTTTTAAATGTTGCAGAGGGCTAAGTACAACGACATGGAACCTGATGCTATTGATTTCTTTGGTGAATGCATGAATAGTCCCCAAAGTGGTCGAACTCCTCTTGCCAATGAAATATATGTAAGTTACAAAATGATAGGATACATCTACTGTACTCAATTACATGCCTAGTTGAACACTGTTCTATGGACTTCTTATTTACTACATTCAATTTTTGTAGGCACAAATGGTGGCAGAGAAGGAAAGAGAGCCAGAAGAAGGAGAAGCACAAAAGTCGCCCCCAAGATTGTTGCTGACAGTCTCAGCCAGATTAGCCGTTCATCCACCTTTCTTCCCAACACTGGTGTCCCTCGACCGTCAAAGACTGGCCGTGCCTCATCGACAGCAGCACAAGCACGCATGCAAGCTGAGTTTGAGGCAAGACTCCAAGCTGAAAGAGATGAAGCTGCTAGGAAGCAGGAAGAATTGCAAGAACAGCTTCAAGCTCAGCAGGCCGCACTTCAAGAAAACCAGAGTTTGCTGCGCCAGACCCAAGAGGAAGTGAAGGGGATGCATACCAAGTTTGAAGAGACTAATGCACTATTGCGAGCTGTCCTGAAACTTCAGAAAGATTGAGGTAGGTTTGAAGCAGTTTCTGTGGATGGGGCTTTTGTTTAAGTTATTGCTACCTTGCTACAACTTGATCTGTGGTTGGAACTTTGTCGATACTTGGTGCTTTATGCTTGTATGGTGGAACTTCTGTGGTTTAGTTGTGGTGGAACTATGTGGTGGATCTGTGATGGAACTATGTGGTTGCTACTGTGTTTGGAACCAGTGGAATATATGTGTATGCACTTCTGTGAATTGTGTATGATTACTGCCTTCTGATGTCAAGCCTAGCGATGATGGCTAGGCTGATATATATATCTGTGTGTATTCTGCTTTGGTTCCATGTGATGAAAGATTTGTATGTTGTCACTGAATATGAATGCCAGCATCATCATGAATGCCATGGCTAATTGTGACGCCATATAGTTGTCTCAAAACATGGCCTACAACCATACCAAACAAGACGAAACATCAGTGTCATATAATCTACATAAACATAACATGACATGAGAGGGATGTCATAAAAAGTCATCCAAACCTGACTCCCAACCCGCAATTTGTGACGACAGTTGCAAAATGTGACGCGTTGACCAACTATTATGTGACGGTTTCTACCGTCATAAAAGGGAACAATTTGTGACGACATTTGGTAACCGTCACAAAAGGTCAGACAATTTGTGACGGTTGCTTATGAAATCGTCACGTGATACATTATGTGACGGTCGTTATATGACGACCGGCGTGACACGTGATTTTTGTCATAAGCTGCTTTATATGACAATTTTTTGACTTAACGTGACAAATGGTGTTTGTCATACAAGCCCATATTTTTTGTAGTGTCTTTCCTATGGTGCTATATGGGATGAATGCCTTCCCTTAGCTGAATTCTCATATAACAATAGCTATCAAGAGAGCATTAAAATGGCACCATTTGAAGCATTGTATGGCCGTAGATGCCAGACACCTTTACATTGGTCAGAAACTAGAGAACGTTGGTTCTTTGGACCGGATGTGGTCAAGGAAGCTGAAGAGAAAGTTAAACTCATACAAGCTAATATGAAGGTAGCTCAATCCCGATAGAAAAGCTATGCTGATAAAAGGAGACGACCGCTAGAATTCATAGTAGGAGATCATGTCTACCTCAAGGTATCGCCGATGAAAGGAGTTCATCGTTTTGGGATTCGAGGAAACTTAGCGCCCCATTATGTCGGTCCTTTTCAAATCCAACAACGATGTGGACCAGTCGCATATCGCGTCAAGCTACCAGACCACATGTCAGCTGTGCATGATATCTTCCATGTATCCTAGTTGAAGAAGTGTCTTCAAGTACCTGACCAAGTGATCGACTTTGGTGATGTAGAACTAGAACCTGATTTGACTTATGCCGAGTACCCCATTAGAGTCTTAGATCAGAAAGATCGGATCACTCAAAGATGTACAATCAAGTTCTACAAAGTACAATGGAACCAACACACTGAAGAAGAAGCTACTTGGGAGTCCGAGGATTACTTAGAAGAAAACTTTCCTGACTTCTTTGCTTCTCTCTAGTTGCAATACCTTGTCTATGTTGTAACTTGTCTCTTTTGTCAAAGAATGAAAACCCCCTCACTAGTCTTTTGAATAAAGTTATGGTGTGTTAGCTTGACACATTTCCTTTTCCGTTACTTAATCCTAAGTTTTAAATCTCGGGACGAGATTTCTTTAAGGGGGAAGGGTTGTAACACCTCTGGTGTTTTGACCTGGCATTAAAACTTGAGATGTCATCATATGCATTGCAAAGCATTCATAAAGTAGAAAAATTTGAATGCATTCACTAAATAAGCTTTATTTCATAAGTTGTTATTTTATGTGATGTAATGTGATTCAAAACTCTGAATAAAAATCTTTACCACAAGGGTCAAATTTCATGTGATCATGTGAGGCCATGTGTCATTTGACTCAAATAACCCTAATGGGCCATGTTACTGGTCCAAAATCAAAGTTAAGTCAAAAGGAAAACAAATTAAATTTGAATTCAACTTCAAATTATAAAAGTCCTTTTTGCCCCTTTTGTGTATTTCAAAATCCATTTGGAATTTGGGGGTGTGACAAAAAGCAAAGTTGAAGCTTATTTTATAAGGACCAACTTTGGTATTCAAAGTTTTTAAAGTTTACACATAAAGTTTGGAGTAATTTTGAAATGATTCAAATGCTCAAATACACCCCAAATTCAAATTTTAAAATGGAGGCAGAATTTGAAAATATTCCTTGAAGCAAAGTTATAGAGTTTGAAAAGTTGAGCAACTTTCATTTTTGGAGATTTTCAACTTCTTTAGAAAATTTGGGAGTAATTTGCAAAAGTAACTCAGTGGCAGTTCTGTAAATAATTCAAAAATCAAAATCAACATCGCCTGTTTGCCACCGGCGACACGCAGCTGTTCACCGCCGACCTTCTTCGTCGCTTTCTCATGCGGTGACACGCAACCGGCACCGTGGCGAGCTCGTTCATGCGCTGTCGACGCCGGACGTCTCCTTCCCGTCTATAAATAGCAGCAACCACCGCCGTCGTCCTCCATTTTTTCTCTTTGCTCTGTTCCGCCACTGATCAACTCCATCGCTCGTTGTAGCCGCCGTGGACCCCTTTCCGTCGTGCCTAGCTAAACCAGCATGATCACCGTGACCTAGCGATCCTCGTAGGCTTGCTCGCGTCACTTGGGTTGGCCGGAATCGACCGACGCAACGTGTTCTTCCCCGTGACCGGCCGGAGCTCCGCCACCATCGACCTCACCGTGGCCCCATCGTTCCAGCCCGTCTCCGCCTTCACCAAGCACACCGGCATGATTGTGGTGAGCTCTTGAGCGTGATGCTCACTTCGCTTTAGCCTCTACTGCATTGTAGCCGTGGTTACACCATGCGCCGTCAAGTCCGAGCCGCCATGGCCGGCGTGGAGCTTTCTCCGGTGCGCCTGCTGCGGTTCTGAGGGCTGGGATAGTTTCGTGGGGTTGTGTAGATGGTTCTGGTGCGGTCTGCCTCGCCGGAGCATCACCGCCAGCGCGTTTTGGCCGACCGGTGATGGCAGCGCCGCCGTATGCTCGGTGTTGTGTCACTGACGAGCGGGACCGGTTGTCAGTGAGAGATAGAGAGAACAGTAAGGTTTTGTTATTTTCTGAGTTATGAATAGTGCAGCAACTTTTGGAATTTGTAGGAAAATGATCATAGCTCCAAAAAATCTAAAAAAATTTGTGTAGCTTCTGTACATGTTCTATTATGGTTTAAAATTTTGAAACTTGAAATTTGAATAAATTTTTAATGTTCAAAAATTCAGTCAATTAATTGATAAATGCAATTTCCATAATTTTTGTAGGTCACTGTATAGCTCCAAAAAATTATGAAATTTATTTTGGTACACTAATTTATTATGAGAAAGCTTACATAAAATTTTGAGGTCATTTGGAACAAGTTTATTTTTGGGCTTATTTCCAAATTAATTCAAAAATGAATAAAAGCAAACCCTAAGTGTTAGGGTTAGGGTTTGATCTTGTTTGGGTCATGTTTTGTGATCAGTAGGGTTTCAAGATCAATTTGGTCATGTCACTTAGGTCATAAACCCTAGATGTTAGTGTCAATTGGTTTTGATCTACAACTGTACCGTAAAGGAAAGTTGTATTCAAGGTGTTATTATATTTCATGCACCATGAAAGCATCATGTTTACATTATCATCATGTTGAAGCACATGTTATTATTTCGTGTAGAATCCGAGAGTGAATCGATTCTAGTTGAGCAAGTTATGGAAGAATCCTCGGTTGTCACGGGATTCGATAATTGTGGTACTGATCCGGAACCCGAGATCGTCAACGAAGGCAAGCCCCGGTTTATGCATTAAACCATTACCTTGTTTACTTTGAAAAGTTTATCACCTATGTTACTTATTGCATTAAGTTGTTTAATTCAAATGTTACCTACTTGATGCATTGCCTACCTTGTTAATTGTTTACCATCCTTGAAGATGATTTCATTTACAAAGGCGTAGAATTGCTTAGTATGCTTTATGGTAGGCTTTCAAAGTAAAAGTTTTGATACAATCAAAGATGGCATACTGGCCAAAGAAAGAAAGAAGATAGAATGAACTAGAGACTAGTCGGGTGACTTATCTTGAATCTTGGGTAATGTTGCCGACTATGTCGCTTAAAGGCCACTCATTGTGGATCTTCTGAACGAGACACTTTGTAGTACTGGTCACATACTCCGGTAAGCCTACTTCGGCTAATCCGATACTAAGATGAATGCCCACGCACTAGGAGTGGTGAGATGGCGGGAGTAGCGTGTACCCTCGTGGCTTGAATGTGGCCGGATTTGAGGCGTGCTGTGCTCTCGAGTGGCGTGGAGACGGCTTAGTATAGGAGGATCCAGTAGCGAGGTTGATATATGCAAGATTAAGTTCTACATATGTCGTGTGATAAGGAATCCCCAGCTGGGACTTGAATCAATTCGAATTGCCGGTGCTCCACGGATATGGAGACTCGATTCATTACAGAAGCAATGTAGGACTGGTGAATTACTAAAACATAAGAAAAAGGAATGGAATGAGAAGGATTGGAATATGGGATATGAACACTTAGTTTGAGATAATGAACTAAAGTACTTAGGGGTAAAACTTAAAAATAGAATCAAGAATAGTAAGCTTTTGGCAAAGAACTTTTGAATCTTGCTACATCCTTACCTTGTCCCAATACCTGCAATCCTAAGACCTTCGCCCCTTTTACATCGGGTCAGTCTTGTTGAGTACTTTTGTACTCAGGGTTTGTTAACCCTTGTTGCAGGTGAGTCGCATGCGCAGGCTTGTTTTGATCCCTGCTGCATGTCAGTGTTTGAAGTCGATGACGATGCGGAATGATGAATGGCCTTTGGACAAGGCACTAGTTTGTGTGAAATAAATAATGTTAATGTAATATTATCCCGCTACTATGGTTGTATGACACTTATGGTTTTGTAAGTTTGAAACAACTGGTTTGTAATATTAAAACTTAAGTCTTCCGCTTTATAATCT